GTATAGTGGGGTGAGGGGCGAGAGGACATGGGGGTGGGGTGAGGCACACTGCCTGCTGCCAGGGGGAGCTCAGTGTCAGTGGGGGAAAGATAAATAAATGCTGAAGAGCTTTGGTACTGGTTTAAAAGAAAGGAAGTAACCACAGATTTGATTGCTCTGCTACTCAGGGTTTGCCTTTCTGGTATGTTGCCAGGTCCTCAAGATGAAATACCAGGTCAGTATGTATTTGAGTCCAGTACTACAGTGTACATTCAGTTAGTATAAGTTAAAGAGTAATTTTCAAAACAAATGACATGTAATGCTTTTGTCTTCCTTAGAGCTCTGGAACTGCATCCATTCTCAGTGAAACCCCTTCTTCGACGAGCTATGGCCTATGAAACTTTAGAGCAGTATCAGAAAGCTTATGTGGATTATAAAACGGTGTTGCAAATAGACTGCGGAATCCAGATAGCAAATGACAGCATTAACAGGTAACCTGATCTGCGGCAGCCGCCTCTGGGGCCTGGATGTTTTATACTGGAATTAGATTTTTTCTTTCCCTCCTTCGAGAACGGAGTCAAAGTGTACGTGTGTTTTCATTTACTTTCACTCCATCCAAACCAAATGATTCTCTCTTTCTAACTTAATTTCTAACTATCCCGCAATACATTCTGAGTTGTCCTCTAATTCCTTTACATTTGTTTCCTGGTCCATTTATTACTGTTCAGTGAATATCCTATTCTCTTTTTTAAGTTCTTTTAAAAATTGTTAACAGTACTGTATTACGGATGTCCCCCATTTCCCCCCCTTTCCCGCCCTCCACCCAGCCCCTTCCCCACCCCAGGCCCATCACCACACTGCTATCTGTGTCTGAGGGTTATGCATATATTCATATAAATTCTTTGGTCAATCTCTTCCTGTCACCCCCTCTGAGATCTGTCAGTCTGTTCCATGCTTCTGTGTGTCTGGACCTAGTTTGTTTGTCAGTTTATTTTGAGTGATATCATGTAATATTTCCCTTTCCCTGCCTGGCTTATTTCAATTAGCCTAATACTCTCCAGGTCCCTCCATGCTGTCGCAAAGGGTAAGAGATCCTTCTTTACAGCTGCGTAGTATTCCACGGTGTAAATGTCCCACAGCTTTTTTTTTTTTTTTTTAAATCCTCATCTGAGGACTTCTCTTGTTGTTCTCTTTCTAGTTCTTTTAGTTGTAGGGTTAGATCATTTATTTGAAATTTTTCTTGTTTCTTGAGGTAGGCCTGTAATGCTATGAAGTTCTCTCTGATGACTGCTTCCACTGTGTCCCATAGATTTTGGGTGGTTGTGTGTCCATTTTCATTTGTTTATAGGAAGTTTTATTTCTTCCTTGACTTCATTGGTAACCCATTCATTATATAATAACATGCAATTTAACCTCCATGTGTTTGAATGGTTTTGAGTGTTTTTGTTGTAGCTGGTTTCTAGTTTTTTGCCATCTTGACGCTTGATATGATTTCACTCTTCTTGAACTTGTAGAGACTTATTTTGTGTCCTAACATGTGGTCTGTCTTCTCAAGTCCTATGTGCACTTGTGAAGAATGTGCATCCTACCACTTTGGGATGAAATGATATTTAAATGTCAGTTAAAGCCATCTGATCTAGTGTGTCATTTAAGGTCTCCGTTTCCTTGTTGATTTTTTTTGTCTGAAAGATCTATCCAGTGATGTCAGTGGGGTGTTAAAGTCCCCTACTATGACTGCATTGCTGGCGATCTCTCCCTTAAAGTCCTCCAAGAGTTTTGTTTTTTTATATATTTAGGTGCTCCTATATTGGGTGCACACATGTTTACCAGGGTTATATCCTCTTGTTGGATCGATCCCTTTGTTATTACGTCATGACCTTTATTGTCTCTTGTTATGGCCTTTGTTTTGAAGTCTGTTTTGTCAGATGTAAGTATTGCCACCCCGCTGTTCTTCAGTTTCCATGCTCATGGAAAACCTTTCCCATCCCTTCCCTCTTGTCCTCTGTGGGTCTTTTGCTCTGTGGGTCTCTTGTAGGCAGCATATATATATATACGTCATGCTCTCTTATCCAGTCAGCTGCCCTGTGTTTTTTGATTGGAGCATTTGATCCACTTACATTTAAGGTTATTCATAGGTACTTATTTATTGCCGTTTTTATTCTTTATGCCTATGTTCCTCTATTCTTTTTCTTTTTCTCCTTTTTTCAATCCTCACCCGAGGATATTTTTTCCATTGCTTTTCAGAGAGAGTGGAAGGGAGGGGGCGGAGAGAGAGACACATCGATTAGTTGCCTCCTGCACATGCCCTGACTGGGCCAGGGATCGAGCCTGCAACCGAGGTATGTGCTCTTGACCGGAATCGAACCCTTCAGTCCACCAGCTGACAGTCTAACCACTGAGCCAAACCAGCTAGGGTTGACTTATACTTCTTTAAAAAATTGAAGTATAATTCACATAACATAAAATTAACTGTTATAAAGTATGCAATTTAGTGGCCTTTACAGTATCTTCACAGTGCTGTGCTGTCTCTGCCTAGTTCATCACTCCGAAAGGAAGCTCCCCATTAAGGAGTCATTCCTTGTTCTCCCTTCCCCCATCCTCTGAGAGCCACGAATTTGCCTCCTGGCTCTATGGATAGTTCAATTAAATGGAATCTAGGATATGAACCTTTTGTGTTTGGCTTCTTTCACTTAGTACATGTTTTTAAGGTTCATCCATGATGTAGCATATATCTGTACTTCCTTTATGGCTGAATAATATTCCATTTTATGGATCTATCACATTTTGTTCATCCATCAGTGGGCATTTGGGTTGTTTCCGCCTTTTGGCTATTGTGAATAGTGCTGCATGAGCATTCAAGTACACGTTTGTGTTTGCATACTTGTTTTCAGTTCCTGTTGATGTATACCTACGAGTGGAATTGCTGGGTGATATGGTAATTCTGTTTAATTTTTTGAGGATTGCATTATACTTTTTATATGTGCTCAAGAAGGTTCTTTTATACATGTTGACTTTGAAGACTCATCTGTTTTTTAAATTGAATGGTTACTGCTGGTATATCGTTCTATAAGATGAGGAGGCTTTGTCTGCTATTGCATATATTTTTCTGTAAAATATCCAGTTTAAAATTTTTATTATTCTTTTTCATGAATCCCACATTTGTGCTTGCTTTTCCATCTAAGCAACAGTAATTTTTTAAATTTAAACATTTGTGCTGATTTTGTTTATGTCTTCCATTAATCATATCCCTCTCTTCCTCCCCAGGAATCTTGTTGTTAAATTTCCCTGCATATACTTATTTACTCCCTGGCAACACATCATCTCTTTTCAGCTGCTTCTTCCTTCCTCCCTGCTGGTAATAGAAGTTTTGCTTGAAGATTCTTTTTTTCCTAAAGCTGCTTTTTCTTTTGCAGTTGTGGGTGGTTATACATTATTTTTCAAATTTATTTTTTTACACTAAAATATATGATATTTGGTTATCATAACCAAAGATCACTATTGAAACTTCAGTTAAAGAAACTGTAGGGAAATTATGTTTATTATATTTGTCTATATAAATATAAAAATTTTTCACACAAAAAGTACTACTGAGTTAACTTACTGAATACATTCTACCAGTTAGCAGTAAACCTTCAGTCTTGAAGAGCACCTTTTTAGAACCTGGTTATTCCAAAGACATAATTCTACTTTGTTTTTAAATAAAAGTATAATACTTTGCATGTTTAAAATGATGAGAAAGTGATAATTGAGGAAGTTAATCTGAATTTTATGATGGCTGTTAGTAAATGTCATTACTACAAGGGCCCTTATAGTAGACTCCAGTACCCTATTCTTTTTTCTTTATGCACATGAAAACAAAATAAGTGGATAATTTTAGAGATGGGAAAAAAATACAAAGTAAGAGTATCTTAACTACATGTAAATATTTTAAGAAAAAGCAGTATTTCACATGACAGCTAGTTTTAGCCAGTCTTTTTTCTTCTTAATTTTTTATGTATTAATTTGAGAGAGAGAAATATCGGTTTGCTGCTCCATTTATTTATGCGTCACTGGTTGGTTCTTGTATGTGCCCTAACTGGGATCGAACCCACAACCTTGGTGTATCAGGATGGTGCTCTAACTAACTGAGCTACCAAGTGCTTTTGAGTATTATCAGGAATAATACATTATCAGTTTAGTAGTTCTATTAAATGTTATGTGGGACATTTCTTCTAGGCCTCAATTTTATTTTTATATTTCACCTTTTCAAAAATTAGAATTTTATTGCATGTACATTTTAAAAAATTTAAACTTATTAGAAATGTCTTAATTTTTTTTTTTCTTTTGATAAAAAAGATCTAAAGTTACTTACGTTTTGGCAACTTTTTAAAAGTCCTTTTGAAAACAGTTTACGTGGGCAGCAAAAATCTCCAGATTACGTGTTTTCTACAGGAAAGTACACAAATGCATAGCATTTGTAAATCTTAACTCTTGATATGACCTTTGGTAATGTAAAATGCGAATTGCATGATCAACGGAGAAAACTCGTGTTCTTTTTAGAATAACAAGAATTCTAATGGATCTGGATGGACCACGCTGGCGGGAGAAGCTGGCACCCATACCTACTGTGCCCGCTTCTGCACAGTTGCGAGCTTGGCGGCCTACAGCAGAGGTGCCCTCAGACCAAGTGGGAGATTCCTGCAGCCATCACCAACCTGGCAGCGCAGGTGGGGCGGCCCGACTCACTTCTTCCAGGGGTGGTTTTGAGCTGTGTACATTTTCGCAGTAAAGCAGTAGATAAGAGCATGAACTTAGGCGCCCGACATGGGATTGAGGCCCTGTTTGCTCTCTTTCTAACTACAGAATTACTTGTATTTTACGTGTTTTTTAATTTGAAAAGTGTCATAATTGTATAGTCGCTTTTATGTATAGCCAATTTATCTTTTTAATTCGTATACAAAGTTTTGTTCCTTTTCGACTAGCTCTGCACGTATGGGGTCAAGTTAATCTGCATTAGATTTACTTACAGATGTACTTAGAACTTTGCAGAGGTGCTTACATAAAAACTTTCTCTTTTTTTTATTCTTTGGGTTCTGTAGATGAAAAAAGGTTTACAATCCTTAAGGAAGAAGGAAATCAGTGTGTTAAGGACAAAAACTATAGAGGTGCTCTTAGTAAGTACAGCGAGTGCCTGAAGATTAACAGCAAGGAGTGTGCCATTTATACAAACAGGCAAGTTTTTTGTGACTGTGTGTTTCTGATTTAAAACTACAGACAAATTAATTGTCAGAGTTTTTTCCATGGTTCTGATGATTTATATAGAAAGTTGTCTAAGAGGTGGGGGGCCTCAGGAGTGCTGGAGAGATTGAAGGCATGGGGTGCGACGGGCCGCGAGGCCTGGCGTGGCTGCCCTCCGGGCCCTGACTGGTGCTGCTCTGGTCCTGCTGCAGCTGGAGGCCTGAGTGTCGTCCTCCGTGGTAAGCGTCGGAACCTGCCTTTCAAATTCGTGTCTGAAGTGCCCCTTTTCTCTTGAAACGCTAAGGGAAGGGATCAGCATCTTTTCGTGCTCAGTACCGGTGGGCCGATTGTTCTAGAATGCTGCTCAGGGGCCATCTTCACCACATTATGGTAAAAGATAGTTACCTGGAATACGGTGATTTGGGGAATTTTAGGGAGTAGGTAGATCTGGGGTGACAAGAAACAATAAGGTGTAGTTCCTGAAGAACAGGGTCTCAGTCTCTCTGCAGGTTCTCTGACCGCCTCCCAGTTACGGCCTCTAAAGCCACCCGAGTTTCAGCCCTGGGCACTCCCCTCCCTCTGCACCCTGCCGATGCCTCCCTGCCCTGGACGACCAGCATCCCTTCCTGTTGTCTGTGTCACCCTTGGCGGTGGCCTGCGGTCTCATTCCCTCCTCCCTCCCTCTCCAGGCTGCAGCTAGAGGGAAATTGCTAAGCGTGGTGAACACGTGGGCCCCTATTTAGAAACCCATTAAGTTCAGGATACAGCCCAGCTTCCTTGCCACGATTGGCAAGGCCCCTGGTGATCTGCCCGCCCCCCAGCCTCATCCCTGCCCCGCGCCGTGTGGCACTTCTCTTACACCGTCGGGAACATCATGTTCTCCGTCACTGTAGAACTGTGCACACACTGCCCTGGCCAGTGTGGCTCCGTTGGTTGAGCATGGCCCCACGCACCGAAGGCTCAGCGGCTCAGGTCCTGGTCAGGGCACATGCCCGGATTGCGGGTTCCATCCCTGGTCGGTTTCCGCATGGGAGGCAAATGATGGATACTGTGCCCTTCGCCTCCACTCCCCCCTCCCTACCTCTTAACTCTCGCCCCAGTGCCTTTGCTTTGGATAATTCTCACTTCATACTCTGGGCTGCAACCGAAGTGTCACTTCTTCCAGGAAGTCCTTTCTGACTGCTCTTCCCCTCCTCTCAGTCCCACCACATCCGATGAAGTTCTCAGCTGTGTCCCGAGCATCCTGTACAGATTTTATTGTGTTTGCTTGTTTCAATTGTCTGTCATTTCCTCGAGGGCCGGGGCTGTATTTTGTTTGCAGTTGTGTCCTCAGTGCCGTAATTACGTGTATTGCAAGAAAATGCCATAACCGGACTTAAGCGTTAGGCCTCCTTTGAGAAACAGCTGTGGGTTAGAAACCTGCTTAATGAGCCATTTTCTGATTTTTCTTAGCTGCTTGTCGGTATGTTGTCCTTCCCTTTCATGATACCGAGTTCCATTTTGTCCCGCCAGAGCCCTCTGTCACCTGAAGCTGTGCCAGTTTGAAGAGGCAAAGCAGGACTGTGACCGGGCGCTGTGGCTGGACACCGGGAACGTGAAGGCGCGCTACAGGCGGGCTCTCGCTCACAAGGGGCTCCAGGTGGGACGCGGCGCGTTCGTGTGCGGTTAGCGCTCGGCAGGTCGGGCGGTCTTCATGAACATCGCCTCGGGATCCAGGAACGGGAGCGAGATTATCCTGGGATTTAATCCTAGTTCTGGGCTTGCCGGCCCTGAAGCCTCGGACAAGGCCTCGGCTTTCCCCTAATTATAATGTGGAGCTAGATAATTTATCGGGCTCTTCCAGCTCAAACACTGTGATTTATTTCCTGATTTTCCAAGGAGCGTTGTTAGTTACAAAAAGTCGACTTTAAGGGACAGGAATGTTTTTTACTGACTTACTCAAGGCCGCCAGCAGTGCCATTGGATTTCTCCAGCAGAGGTTTGGGGTTGTGTGGGGGGTGGAAGGTACCAGAATGGAAGATGGTAGAGACATCAGAACCTGGGAAGCTCGTGGTGATTCGGGTCTTCAGCTGGCTGGTGGTCAGTATGAGACTATAGAATGGCATTCTTCTCTAAGAAAAACCACACTTTCAAAGAAAGTATTGTATAATTGTGTTTGGGGTTTTGGCGGTTTTTTAATTTTTTTGTTGTTGTTGTTAATCCCTACCTTTTTTCCATTGCTTTTTGGAGAATGAGAGGGAGGGAGGGAAAAATTGATGGGAGAGAAACACATGGATTGGTTGCCCCCCAAATGCGCCCCGACTGGGGTGGGGAGCGAACCTACAACCCAGGTACATGCCCTTGACCGGGAATCAAACCTGAGACCCTCGGTGGCTGCCTGGGCCGACACTCTCACCACTGAGCCACACCAGCCAGAGCCATATGTTTTTATTGATTTTTTAGAGAGAGGTAGGGAGAGGGAGAGAAACATCAGCGATAGAGAAACATTGATCGGCTGCCTCCTACAGGCCCGCTCCTGGGGATCTAGCCGGCAACCCTGGCATGTGCCCTGACTGGGAATTGAACCGGTGACCTCTCTGCATGGAACAGTGCTCAACCACTGAGGCTCAACCACTGAGCCACAGCAGCCAGGGCCTAATTTTTTTTAATTTGTTGAGAGAGAGAAAAACACTGACTTTTTTCCATTCATTTATGCATTCATTGGTTGCTTCCTGCGTGTCCTGATCGGGGACTGACCTTGCAGTCTTGGTGTATTGGGATGACGCTCTAACCACCTGACCTCCCTGGCCAGGACGGCTTTTGTTTATGCTGATTCTTCTGCATGGAAAATGTGAACGAATATTCACGTTTGTATGAAATAGCATCACAAGGGAAAGTCAAAACATACAGAACAAAATGACATTTTCTGAAATGGTATTTTTTAAAAGTCAATTTGATTAAGGTCTAATACAATGAAATTCACACATTGTAAGTGTGTAGGTCTTGGATTTTTTTTCCCCCTCAGCAAAGGTTTTTTTAAATTGACATACAATAGTAGTTTCATGTATACATCACTGACAGGGAAACATCTGAAAGTACTTTCTGTAAAACCTAGGTTTTATTGGGAAAGGGTGGTCATGTTTTTGCAGAGAATATCAAACAGTCTTTGAGCACTGAGTCATCGGGCTGTTCCAGACCCGAGATCCACTCGGATCGCAGTAGAGCCACACAGACTGTGGTGTGTGTCTCTGCTGCCAGATGCCATTCTGTTCTTATTTTAAACATAATTACGACTGAAGCTCAGAAAGGTTTAGGATCTTGTTCAAGTTCCTCTGCTGTAGGTGCTAATAGGATGATGTTCGCTCTTTCACTTACTTAGCAGATGACAAATGCCCACCATGTGTTGGGGACTGTGAAGGTCATGGGGACAGAATTTAACTCGAGTCTTCTTCTCACTCCTGCCTTTTATAGAGGATGCTGACTGTGTTCTGGGTTATAATAACTTAGTCCAGGTTTTCCCCCAAAGGCCCAGCTTTCTAGCCGTGGTGCTGCCGGGAGCCCACTGCTCACTGTGCACTGCTCGGCTCATCGCTGTCACTCCCCCGGGGCCAACCTGCGACCTTGTCCTGTTACCTATGACAGTTATTTTCTCTGCCTTTCTACTTTCAGGATTATCAGAAAAGTTTAAGTGATCTCAACGAAGTTCTCCTACTAGACTCAAGTATCGTTGAGGCAAAGGTGGAACTGGAAGAGGTAACCAGAATCCTTAACGTGAAGGAGGGAGCAGCATCAGTCAGCAGAGAAAAGGAGAGGAGGAGAATTGAGATTCAGGAGGTATCTGTATCTGACTGTCTTTGAAAGTACTTTCTGGGGATCGGATTCTAAGGTCATATTCCTATGAGTTCTACAAAAAATGTTTTTAACTTTTTCTGATGCTCGAAGAAGAGATTTTAGCCAGCTGTAGACAGACTTTTCCCACGCTGTGGTAATTAGCCCGCCTACTGCCCAGATGGCACTAGGAGTCTGCTTTAGGGGCTTCCA